TCCCTCAAAGACATCAGCCATAAAAATCTGTTCCCCTTCCCTAACGCTTCACCCTTTTCTTCTTGTTCTTGGAGGACTTTCTTGGCAGGTAGTGCCCCCCCCCCACAACGCCCTCCGTCCCCTGCGGAGAAAGGACAGTAAGGAAACCCAGGAGCTGAGAGAGCACCGGCCACTTTTTACTTCTCACTAAAGGATTCCTGACCAGGAGGAGGCAGAGGGAAGAATAGTTCTGCCTTGCTCTTTTGGGTCGTTCTGTGCCCAGCCTTTGGGTCGTTCTGTGCCCAGCCTTTATCAAAACACCTCTCGGGAAGGAGGGACAAAGAGAAGAGAGTAGTGGGCACATCCAGCAAAAAAGTGCAAAGGCAGCTGGGTCCAACAAGGACGGCCGTAGAATTCACTTAAATCGGCCGTTGATTGATATGAAGCCTTACGTGGATGGGCTACGAGGAACTCTGAAAAACCCCTGTGTGACCCTTCTCCTCGACAGCACCATTAGCTCCAAGTGCCCATGTAGCCCTGGCCATTGCTCCCAACACCTCACCTTCTTTGAGCTGAAGTTAACAAGCTGTTTTATGATTTCGTCTGCCTTAAAGCCACATAAAGTTGTTCAGGTTTCCCTTTTATCTGCTAATGAGCCGTTCTGTGGTCTTAGCCGGTTGCAGCCACATCTGGGTTTCATTTATACCAACGATCCATAACTCCAGGTTGTACTCCACCTTGAGACCAAACATTTCCACGCCAGTTAGCACGCATAAATCAAATCTCTCTTCTGGTTTCAACCTAAACTACCTTAAATCATCATGGGGGTGGGGGGGAGGCGGTTCCTTGTGGAATAAATGAAAATCTGACATGACCTTGTCTCCAGAGAGTCCCCTTCAGAAAAGGTAGCAGCTACATGGGAAGCAACCAGTAAGTGGGTAAGGGGTTTGAAGAAGACTGTATTTGTGTCTGTTGGGAACAATGGGCTGATCAGGCCTGTTCATGCTTAGACAATATGTCACTGATAAGAATCTCTGGCATGGGCCAAGGTGGCTACTGCTGGACACCTGGTGGGGGGTGGAGGGTGGGCTAGGAGTCAATACTAAATGTCTAACCTAGGATTTCAAGGACCTCAAAAATAAACAGTGATATAATCTGTTGCATAACTATTTTGGCAGAATGCCACTTTTATATGAGTCTATATAAACATGGCCTAGAGGTTAGGGACAAGAGCTTTTGCCCGAGCCTTCACTAGCCTACCCAGGTATGTCTGTATGTTGTATAACTGTGTGTCAACCTCTGTTCACCCTGTGTGTCACTTTTCTTTATGTGACTGGGTATACCAGACTTCCTTTTGGGGGCCACCAAGCCAGCTCCCCAATCAGGGCATGGAGACTTCTTATTCATTATAAATGCTTGGCCTTAGCTTAGCTCTTGTTTTAATCTGTTTGTCTACGTTTTGCCTCAGGGCTTTTTAATTTTCTTTCTTTCTGCAAATCTTACTTTCCTGCTTTCTCCACGCTGGCTGACTGGCAGCTGCCTGGCTTCTAGCCCCTGAGGTGTCCCTCCCTTTCTCTCTTGTTCTCTTTTCTTCTCTTCTCCTACTTACTCTCCATACCCACCAGCCCCACCTATCCCTCTCCTGCCTAACTATTGGGTGTTCAGCTTTTTATTAGACCAATCAGTTGCCTTAGGCAGAGAAGGTGAAGCAAAAGCAACACATCTTTTACATAATTAAACACACATCCTTACATCATTAAACAAATACAGCATAAACACACGGCACACACTTTCACACAGCTAAAAGTAATATTCCACAGCATAAACAAATGTAGCGCATCTTTGTCCGGTTAAAATAATGTCCCACAACAAATGGGCCAACGTATGTGTGGCCTACTGTGTGCCAGCACGTGTCTGGGTGCCTGATGGTAGCTGCCTGCCTAGCAGTCTCTATGGTGGCCTTCCAATATTGAGTAAAGTATGTCTTATCGGTCTAAGGCTCATTCCCAGCTCTTCTGCCTTCCTCTCCAGAAATCTCTAACCAAGTGAGTATTAATTAGGCTTCTTTGCAACAGAGGAAGCTGGTAGATCTTCCTCAAACAAGGGACCAAGCTTAACATCACCAGTTACAACTCACAATAGTATTGTGAACTCTGACATGCTTTGCAGAGGAAGGCATATTGTACTTTAGCCCTAAAATGAAGGATCTTGACCTAATTATGAGAAGACATACGACAAAAAAACAAGAGACGCTCTTTTATTTTTCTTTTCTTTTTGAGACAGGGTCTCATTTAGTCTACATTTAGCCTTGAACTCATGACCCTCCTGCCTCCACCCCTTGAGTGCTGGGATTATAGGAGAGTGCTACCATACTCTATCTAAAGAGTAAGAGACAATCTATAAAACAGCAGGAGTTCTTCAAGAGTGACTCACAGATGAATGACAGGAGAAAACTAAAGTTGTTGTATACCAAAAGAGACAGAGAGAGAGAGCTCTAACAGCTGAGTGCAATATGGAACTGTGATGACATATTGCTTAGAATCTAATAAAGCCACTGGAGATCAGAATGCAAAGCCAGCCACAGGCATAGACGCTGGGCAGTGGTAGCACACACCTTTAGTCCCAGAACTCAAGAGACAAAGGCAGATGGATCTCTGTGAGTTCAAGGCCACTCAGGCTACATGAGAGTGAATTAGTCTAAAAGAAAAACAGAGCTCGTGCCTTTATTCCCAGCACTAGAGAGGTATAGAAGATAGGAGCAGGGCATTCAGGATTCAGTCTTCTGGCATTCATTCTCCAGCCACATCGAGGATTCGTGGATCCAGGATCGACCCACCCCCCAGTCTGAGGTAGAGGTGAGAGCTAGTAGCTGGCTGCTTTGCTTCTCTGATCTTCAGCTTGAACCCGAATATCTGTATCTGGGTATGCATGTTACATGGAATCTTGATTAGGTCCTGAATGTGGGAAACTGGAGGAAATAACTCAACAAATCTTTACCATGTTGATTTCTTAGTTTTTGTCATTATAGTATGGTTTTATGGTATGTTAACATTAGATGAATCTGAGTTACAGGAACACAAATCTAAATATAGCTCTTCCAGAGTTACCTACACAATCTTAAGAATTATTCATCTTTTCGTTCTAATTTCTTCATCTGTGAAAACTTCTAACCTAAACTACCAGCAAAGAGTCATACTGTCTTAAAGACAGAAAGTGAGGTTAGAGGGGGAAAAAATGATAACTGAAATGTATAGAACTTGTGGGCTAGAGATCTGCTGCTTGAGATGAAGTCATAGTTGCTCCTACTCTACCACATACGTGCCCAGGACCAAGCAGAACCAAGGCAAATGCATCAGAACTGACAGTCAAGGAGACTGAGCTGCCTAAGGCTTGGCTCTAGTTCAGCCAGGGTGTGCTGGGTAGGAAGTGAAAACAAGGAAGTGTTTCTGACATACTGTTGAACCAGTCTGAAAGAGGAATCAGAAAACACTCTGAAGACATGCAGGGAACACTTGCTTCTCACAAGGGCAGGTGAGGGTGTGTGGTCTGACCAAGTAAAACGTTAGAATATTTGTTGAAGTATGAAGGAACTGAAAAGATGTGCTGTTGCCAGGCTTAAAATAGAAAAAGAAAAATGGGACTCGGAGGAACAAGCTGGCATTTGGTCCCACTTTCACCCTGGGAGAATCAAGGTAAAATAGCTGTGAAGCCATCTAGAGTTCTGACAGGTTCTACAGACATAAAAAGGCAAACTGAAAACACAAATCCTAGTCAAGTAGAATCTCACTGAGCAATCTCCTCTCACACAACATGCACAAGCACATGTACACACACACACATACAGGAATATATGGAAAATACACAAGTACATGCATAAACCAACACACAAGCACATACAAGCACACACATGCATACGTGTGCACACATTAGGCAGAGCTACCTCCACCACTTCTATGTTCAGGCTCTTTTGAAGTAAACCTACACCTGACAGAGCAAGTGGGGAAGAAGCCTGTGGAGTTGGGGGGGAGGGGAGCTGCTGAGAAGCAGGTTCAACGGCAATGGCTCGAATTTGCATGCAAAAATGCCAAATCTGATTGCATCCTCCCAGGTACCTAAAAAGGCAAACTCTAGTTATCTCCGAAGGACGGTCCAAGGTCCGGAAGGGCCTTGGAGAATAACATCCTCTGTCATTGGTGGCCAAGTGTCTCACTCACACAAGGAAACTGGCAGTGAAGGGTCAGAGCCAACTCAAACGGCAAAAAGCAGAGACAGGACCTAGATGGCTTTCACATCCCCAAGGCCTTGGAAGAGAAAACTTCAAAATTGTATGCCTATTACTTAAGGAATTAAATACTTGCTTTACAGAATAGCGACAATTGAGAAAGGGCATTGTAGACTATTATTTTAAGATGTGTTACCTTTGTTTATGCTGTGGAGCATGTGTTCTAATGATGCAAAGATGTGTTTCATTCCTTTACGTTGCATTTGTTTATGAAACTGTGATTCTTTGCCCGTCTAAAACACTTGAGTCTAATAAGGGACTGCTAGTGAGACAGGAGAAAGGATAGGTGGGGCTGGTGGGCAGAGAGGAAAAAAATAGAAGGAGAAACCAGTGAGGGAAAGAAGGAGGATCAAGAAAACAAGGGGAGGGGAATGCTAGGAGCCGGCCACGCAGCCAGCCATGGGGTAAGAGGAGTGAACATAACACACATAGGGAAGTAAGAGAAATGGAAATGCCCAGAGGCAGAGATGTGCTAACTTAAGAAAACCTGGCTAGAAACAAGCCAAGCTGAGGCCAGGCACTTATAATTAAGACTAAGGCTCCATGTGTGATCTATCAGGGAGCTGGGTGGCACAACCCCCAAAAGAACAAGGAGCCAACGAGCAAAGGGTCAGAGCAAAGAGTAAAAAAGCAGCCAACAACAAAAGGGTGTTTCAAAACCAGCATGCGAGAAGCTTGGAAGCCATCACGTCTGTCTTCAGGCGAAAACAGGTGAGCAAAGATAAAATCAACAGTTTACCTTAGATCCAAACGAGAAGGTGCAGAGCAGACCCGAGTGGAAGGAACACGGGTGGATGAGAAGAACCATAGCTTCCTGTAGGAGAAGTCTTGGGCCGTTTACCCCTGCAGAACCGGTGCTGCCATAGGGAGACTTGACTGCAAGGAACGGAGCACTGGAGGTCAAATGCGGGTGAGGTTGAGGTGAGACTCCAGCTTTGGCGATACACACTGGTGAGGCAATGTGCAGCTACACTGTAGCGGCACAGATTAAGATACACCGGACTTGGTTAGATACAGGTTAATTTTACTCGGGGGAGAAATCACATAAGAAACCGATGACCCGCAAGTTCCAGCTCCAAGGACCCACACCAGCTGCCCTCGGAGACCCGATTGGAACAAGAGAGCAAAATACCACACTCTCAAGTACCCACCCGTGACCACGCCCAAGTGGGCGTGGTCAGCGCCACAGGTGAGGCTGGGTGGATTCCTACACTACAGTGAGGCAATGTGCATCTACACACTGAGGCTCTTCAGGGATGTGCAGCACCCAGAGACTCTCCCAGGTTCTCACTGTGAAAATCACAGAGTAGTCCTCACACATCTCCGTGTGACGGGAATGACAGCAATTGCTCCACACCGTGGAAGCAAACGTGGTTTTCTTTTTTTTATTTTCTTTGTGCTTTACGTGCATAACTGTTTGCCTATATGTATGTATGTGGGCCATGTGTGGCTGGTCACCATGGAGGCAGAAGAAGACATTGGATCTCCTAGACATGTAATTTCAGACTGATGTGAGCTGCTCTTAACTGCTGGGCCATCCCTCCAGCCTCACGCTGCCCTTCTTAACAGTTCCTCCCTCCCAGGGTCTTCCATCTCAGATACCTCAGCCAACAGAGCCCTCCACAGCCATGGCCAGAAGCTGGATAATCCTGCAGAGGTGTGCTTGGAGATTTGTCTCCTAGGCGACTCCAGGTCCCGTTGAGTTGATGATTAAGACTGTTCCAATGCCAGAACAAATTCTTGCCTCTGACGCCCACTAGGAATTATAAATATAACCTAACCCACAGACAGAGAGGCACAGAAGCTCAGGTTAAAGGATTATTTGTCTCGGTTTCTTCTTGTCTGGTATATCACATCTTGCTTTCACAGAAATATTGTAAGATGTAATAAGAGGCGAAAGGTATAATTTGAAGGAACAGATGAGACCCGGACTGAGCAGCGATGTCGGGGTTACTAGGGAGGAACTTAAAGTAAATCATATTCATGTGCCGAGAACTTGGAAGAGTGAACAAGCAGCACACAAAAACAAGTGGTAGGATGAACAGAAGGAAAACACAATCACGAGAAAGAAGAAAACGTTAGAAATGAAAGAAGACCGTGACAGAGACAATGAGTTGGGCATAAAACCTGACTGGAGGTGCCTGGGGGAAGGGGGAACGTTTGCTGATAAACTCATTAGAAACCCTTAGAGCCAAAATGTGGGTGAAAAACAGAATGGAAAGTTGGATGGAGACTCTTAAGAACAGAGCAACAATTACGAAGAGAGGAACTAACCCAGCTGTAGGGCAGCAGGTGAGAGAAAACAAAAACAAAACAAAAACCAGAGACTTGTTTAAGGGAATAATGGCCGAGAAGTTCCAAAAATTAGTACAAGGCACCAAAGCCCAGACCCAAGACGAACCACAAAACTTCATATATAAGCATACCATACTCAAACCAGAAGAACAGAGGAAAGCTTGAAAACGAGCCAGTAGTGTGGGGAGAAAAGGAAAAATACCTATACGGGTGTCGGGATTAGAATGACCCTGGACTTTCAGAAGCCCACTATCTCCTTCCAGCAAGAAGAGAAGTGGAGAAGAAGACATGAAATGATGTGTTAATAATGTCTCAGCACTCAAGAGTGTGGGCTGCACTTGCAGAGGACTAGAGTTAGGTTTCCAGTGCCCACAGGGACGCTCACAACTGTCTGTGACTCCAGTTCCAGGGAATCTGATGTCCTGTTCTGTCCTCTGAGAGTAATATATGTACACAATACATGTGCAGACATACATGAAAACAAGCATTCATACACATATAATTAAAAAAGGAAAGCAATACTTGTCAAAACTCACATTTGCATGATAAAGGATATTAGACAAATAGTAACAAGGTATTGAGCTACCTGTAAAGCTGTATAGCGTGCCTGGACCAGAAGCTTCAGGGACAGGGCAATGGGCTTAGGAGACTAACAGGAGGATTGCTGCAAATTCAAGATTAGCCTGGACTATATTGTAAGTTTCCGGGTAGCCTGGGCTACAAAGAGTCCCTATCTCAAAAACCTAAAATAATAATCATTATATAATAAAGATAACTATAATTTTCAAAAATTTAAAGTTTCAATTAATTGTAAATGCATACCTCAAACTAGAGGTCAGTAATTAAAACATCATTTACAAAAAATGATAGGGATTGAGAGCTATCCACCATGAGGGGAAGACACTAATTCTTACACCTCAGATGACCTACAAATTCCACACAAGATAAACACTTTTTTTTTTTTGGTTTTATGAGACAGGGTTTCTCTGTATTGTTTTGGAGGCTGTCTGTCCAGCCTGGCCTCGAACTCACAGAGATTCGCCTGCCTCTGCCTCCCGAGTGCTGGGATTAAAGGCGTGCACCACCACTGCCCAACAAGATAAACACTTTTAAATTGGTATTATACATATCATTATGAAGCTACTGAAAATGAGAAGCAAGGGAGAAATATTAAAAACACTCTGACCGGTGTTTAAGAAGTACAAGCTATGCATAAACACATGAAACTCTCAGTAAGCCACCATACAATTAAGAAGGTTCACAATGCAAGAGAGATTATAAGAAAAAAATTTCTTCCACAGCTAAGCGGGAAGAAAGGAGGCAAAGGCCTTGGTGGGTCATGTGTAGTGCTGTGACTGGCATGCATGGAAATGGTCCCAGCTGGAAGGCTGGCTGGGGCATGGTACAAAGGCGCAACACATTTTATTATGTAGCTTTTCTATTTCCACATGCATATTTTGAATTTGTACAATAAAATGTGTATTTCTGCATGAGTAATGTCCACATATGCATACACATGTGTGTACATATGCATGCATGTGTATACACATTTGTGCCCAGTTTGCCGCAAGAATTTCACTTCTCAGTTCCATCTTGCTGTATTTGAGATTAACTCTTCTCTCCCTCCCTCTCTCCTTCCTTCTTTCCTTCCTTTTTTCTTGTCCTTCCTCTCTTCCTTTCTGTGTGTTCAAATGCCTATATGCATGTGTGTATGTATGTATGTATATATGTATACATACTTGTGTGTCTATATGTGTCTGTATATATATACATACATATATACATATATAATGTCTGTGTGTCTATATGTGTGCATATATATGTGTGTGTATATATATAAAATGTCTTGCCTGCCTGCCTGCCTGTGTGTGTGTGTGTGTGTGTGTGTGTGTGTATGTGTGTATGCGCACGCGCACGTAAGTGAAGGCTAGAGACTAACATCAGGCGCCTTCTTTAATCGTTCTCCACCATATTTTTTGAGGCAAGGTCTCTCACCGAACCTGAACCTAATCAATTTGGCTAGACTGGCTGCCCAGAAAGTCCCAGACATCCTTTGCTGACATCCTCCTCCCCATACCCCGCCCTTTCCCATGCTGAGATAGATTACAGGTGTGCATCTCTACATCCAAGTTTTCTCTGGGTTCTGGAGGATCTAAACCCAGCTCCTCATTCTTGTGTAGTACATATTTTACCAGCTGAGGCATCTTCTCAGATAGAAAGGGACAACCTTTAAAAATAAACATGGTGTGCTTTCACCATATACCTTCAGGAAAGCAGCAGTATGACTTGAATTTATCAACAGGCGAGGCCACATTTTAAGTTTGAGGTCATCCTAGGCTACAGAGTAAATCCCTGTCCTAGATATAAGAGGGGGGGAGAAAAGAAGGGAAAGGAGGAGGGAAAAAAGAAGAACAAGAAAGAGAAAAGAAAGAAGGAGAGAGGGAGGAAGGAAGAGTTAATCTCAAATACAGCAAGATCGGACTGAGAAGGGAAATTTTTGCAGCAACAATGGGCAACAGACATTAGTGCAAATGAATTTGTATAACTCCCCAAATGAAAAAAATATGCCTGTGAGGAAGAGAACACAATCAACGTACTTTTTAGGAAGGTAAAATAAACACCAGGCTTCTCCAAAAGGAAGTGCTCCTACACAGTACCCAGGCTGGGATGAGGTGATGCCAGGAAACAATCTGACCTGCATGCATGAATTCCACTGTCCGTACATAAGCAAATACACCAATCAAAACCTGCTCAGAGCAGCAGCTTACTGCCCAGTGTGATAATTAGTGGTATCAAAACAATGGACAGCAACACACAGCGGAGGCTATTATAACCTGAGATGGCTAAATTGTATTGTGGGTCCTACGATTCCGGATTAACTGCTCCCGTATTGTGCATGTTGTAATCTTGAGGTCTCTAATAAAAATAAAAACCGTATTTGTCATCAAATCTGTAGATGAGAGATATACAATGGTAAAAAATGTATCAGTTCAGCCAGGCACAGTGGATGGTGCACATATATAATGGACCCTCGAGGCGGAGGCAGGAGGATGTTGAGTTTGAGGCCTGCTTGGGCTGCATAGTGAGTTCAAGTCTGGGCCATTGTGGGCTACAGATTGTGAGTGGCCCTATCTCACAAAATAAAACTGGGCTGGAGAGAGGGTTAAATGGTGAAGAGAGCTCACTGCTCTTGCAAGGAGCCTCAATTCAATTCCCCGAAGTCATATCAGGTAGTTTGCAACCACTTATATAACTCTGGTTCAAGTGGATCTGATACCACTGGCGTCTACTGGAACATGCACTCACATGCACATACTCACACCCACTCCCGTGCCCATCCACATGTGCACACATGTGCACGAGTACACACACACACACACACACATCACTTTAAAAATTAATTTTAAAAAATCTTAAAAATAAAATTGTTAATCCAAAATGTAACCAAAAGGGGGAGGCAGTGACCCTGAAAATCACTTGTACTCTGCTATTCCCTTCTTTATTGTTCCCAGTGACCTCTGTTGTCACTTATTCTTGCCTGTCTCTGGTGCTTTTCATATTGTAGACTCACATCTGAAGGCTTGGAACAAGGAACCACAGATAAGAGAGAACATGGTTATTGGGAGATGCCATTCTGTAAAATCTGTCTCTTATTGGCTGTTGAATAAAGCACTGTTGGCCAATAGGGAAGCAAGATAGGTGGGACTATGAGTCAAGGAGGATTCTGGGAAAGAGAAACAGAGTCAGAGACAATGTAGCCCACCAGAGAAGTAAGAGGTCCGGACCCTTTTCTCCCCTAAGAGAAATACTTAGATTAACAATTATGGGTTAAATACTTAAGTCAGAGCTAGCCAGAAAGAAACCAAGCAAACGGCCAACAGCTTCATAATTAATATAGCATCCTATATGTTCATTTGGGACTCATGCGGCTCTGGAACCAGGCTGGCAGGAAGACAATACCCTACACATGGTGCTTGTCTTTCTGGGTCTAGGTCCACCCCTCCCCACTTGATATGATCTTTTCTAGGACCATCCATTTACCTTCAGTGGACATGTTTCTTTAAGCAGCACAAAGTTGTGTTCTTTTTAGAGCCTCTTTGTCTGAATTGTTGGCTCACTGATGTCTGCATGTGCCTAAAACCTTGAGCACAAGGTCATCAAAGAAACTTCTCTTTGCTATAGGTGGAGACCATTACAGAAAAGGGGCTAACAGAGGGTTTAGAGGGTGGGGGAAAGAGAAAGTTGCAACATTACTTCAGTTTCTAAAAATAAAAAATGCTCAAAGTTTTAAAAGTTTTCTAAAAGAGAGACGGAAGACTCTCTAAAAGAAAGAAGGCTCATGTAGGCATATTAAACATCATTGAAAATGGACATTTAAATGAAAAGCATAGCTGAAAACAAGGAAGGTACGTCATAATGACAAAAAAAAACCTTGAATTTAAGCAGAAAATGAAACGAATTGTATTTGCCTGCACCTGGCAACACAACTTACAAATATGTAAAAAGCCATAGCTATGACTGTAAAGAGTTGATTTGGAGTAAGACATAAAAAGCAAAATAAAGCGATTCACTAAAAATCTAGCAAAATTAATTTTATAAATATATAAAGAACTCTAACAAAATGGAACATTTTCAGAAATAATTATATGCTGAGATACAAAGTAAATACAGAGAGTTTTAAAGAAATAAACTTTTGAGAATGCCTTCTCTAACCCAATGCAATTAAGCCAAAAATCAATACTGAAAATACAACACAAAAGCACCCTATTTTAGAAAATAAAGAAATAGACTTCCAAGTAAGTAAAAGAAACAAAGCAGAATAGAAATTTACAAGTATTTAACTGAAAAATAAAAAATATATGCTATTTTGAACTATCATGATGTGTATACACACATATATATTGGTATAAATAAATATATATAATACATAAATACATATATATACACACACATATAAATATATATATATGTACTTATATTGTAATTGCTTACATACAAGAAAGGGAAGAACTGGAAATCAATGGTTGTTAAGTACATGTCCTTCAGAAGGTAGAATAAAAATGCCTAAACAACCTCAAATAACAGAATGAGTGGATCAATATAAGCAAAGGCCAAAATTTAATTTGAAAAATATAAAAGAAGGCTGAAGAAACTCTTTGTACATTCCTTTACAACGAGGCCTAAGAGACAGTATTAAGAAGGAATCCAAAGTAATGCATGTGGTGCACTCCCATTTGCATAAGAAAGAAAATGTATACAGAGGCAGAGACACAGAGTGCTAACTTCGCCTGCTCAGACCTCACAGGTATAGGCCATCTGTGGAAGCACAACCACACATGGCATCCCCAGGGAGCACGGAGGACAGGAATGGAAGGGGGTTTTCCACTGCCATAGCTTGTGTTATTTCCTGGGTCTCATGATAATGAAAGTCACATTTTTAAAAGTAAACAAAAAGTTTAAAAATAAGTGATTTTTTTTAAAGCAATAATGA